CCGTTCAGGAAATGTTTATTCTGCCTTTTTACCGGCTATTCCAAAGGATTTTTGGATCTCACTCCCCCGACACCCGCAATCTGGAAGTCAACGACCCCTATTTAATAAAGGAAAGGGATGGGATTAGCCAAAATTTGAACACAGTTATTATGAAATATTTTATTGCAAAACTTTCATCTTAGGAAATAGTGAAAATACAACGACAGAAGAAAATAGAGGTCTTATGTTTTCGCGAACGTAGATTCTTGGAAGATCTTAGGCCAGAATCCGAAAGAGAATATGAGGATGCGCCAGTGGGCTGGCCAGGCCACAGCGCCGCCCCTCTCGACTTACTTTTGCCATCTTGCCTCCGATTCTGCGGTTAGCCCCACTTCGGTCAGAAAGCAGGGAAGCCGCTTGTACTCTCTCGGTCACAAACTGGCCCCATGTATCGAGTATTCGCGATTGCGTGCCCCAGAGACACCTTTTATTTCATCCTCTTCCAGTGGATCTAGCAAGTCTTTTGATCATGCAAAAGCCATATCGATAAGGGCTTGAAAAAGATAATGAGAAACGGTAGAGTCGTTTCGTGACGAGATTGCTTCCCGAACGGTAACAATTATCCGGTTCACGCGTTATTTATTTTATCTCCTATGGAATATAATTCGAATAATGGGTCGGCTGATGAGCTGCTGAAGCAGACAAACGGTGGCCGCATCGAACAACTGGCATGGAACGGTATTCTGATATTTTTTCCCCTTTCGAATGCACAGGAATTAACGCGGTTTCCATTGATCAACGCTGTGATCTGGTTTTAATGTTTCTTTACCAGGATACATTTATGAAACCAATTATTATTTCGTTTGGAAAGCTACAAGGAACACACGAATTATCGGGGAACGTAAAACGAAACTGTGCGAACCCATCCCTTGTTATCTCTACAGAAAATAAAATTAAAAAAAAAAAAAAAAATTCAGTGAAATCACCGTGACAGTGAAACGATCACCGAGGATCAAAGGTCAAGTGACGCGTGGTGCGTTTAACCATTGGTCGAAAAAAGTAAAAAAAAGAAAAGGAAAGTAAAATTGGAAGGGGAGAGGGTAGCAGCACGATCAGAGGCTATAATAATAATTTTTACAAGGCCGCGTGTAATCAAGACTGCGTGTTACACATGTTCGGTCTGTGGCCACCCCTACTCGTTCCACGCACGACCCCCATCGTCGACAAGGTAGGGGTGGTCGTGGCACGTGGTAGGGGTGTTTGGCCACGGGAAGGGATCGCATTGGTGGCACGGAGGGGAGAGAATTGCAACGAGCAGTGGGGCGTTCGTGGTCGTTAGAAGGAAACTACCCTCTGTGGAACAGAGAGAAGGAGAAACCATCTCGGCGTGGGCGAGAGGGGCGGGAGGGGGGCTGGTGTAGTATTCACGCGGTACGGTTGCTGGTGGTGCTGTGCTGTTCTGTTGTTGCTGCTTCTGCTCGTGCCCCGGTACCGTTCTTCGTGTATTGTTGTCCAATCGAGCGTACCGACGAATCGGTTTCGAAGCACGCGCGTCCGCTCTCCACCGCATGGTACGCGAGTCGACCTGTTTTTCTTTTTTCTCCTCTTTTCCGCGATCCGCGATCCGCGTCCCGTGACACGTGCCGTTGCATCGTCGTTGTTATTTCACAGTTTTCACAGAGTATCGGTAAGAAAGCACGCTGACTGCTTCTGACGTTCAGTGGACTCGTGGTAGGATGGAATGAGAGTGTCATCTTTGGGATAACCGTGTCTTTCGATGACCTTAGGTCAGTTCCATTATTATGGTAACTTATCTTTGATACGGTGTTGCAACTATGGATGTGTCGAGATTGAAATAGATTACTTGTAACAATCAGGAGAATGAATGGTTTGAAGTTTGAAGGGGAATTAGTCGGCGTTGGTCGAACGCGACGATACCTCTTCTTTCGCGTTTCAATCGCTCGGTTTTCCATGTGTCGTTCGATCGAGCACTCGTTTCACGAGTAATCGATTGCCGCGTAACGCGGTTTTTCGGTGAATCGCGCGGTGCTGCGTGATTCCGTTCGCTTCCTTCAACGACACGTGCTCCGGATTGCGTTTCCATTAGCCTTGTTATTATCCGTTCGACTTTGATCGTTTACACGTACCGTATTTACTTAGATATTCCCGACGATTCTCCGTGCACAGACGTCAGCTCGACTTCTCCATCAACAGTTTTGATTGTGAGTAATGAAGCCATTAATTACCGACGCTTGTTTGCTTCTCGCGCGATGCCTCGGCTTGATCCAACTATCCGCATGAATTGCGAGATCGGTGATAATTGGTTGACCAATTATCTCTAAGTCTTCTTCACATCTACCTGAAATTTTTGGAACTGAACCACGTGGATTATTCTGAAACGATTAGCAACTTTCGGGTCGCTCTTCTCAAAGCGGACGATTTAATTTAGAATCGCAAAGAATTCTAGGGGGAATATTCCGCGGTTACCCGTTCGCGCGCTGATCGGAGCGTGACGAGCGGTAATTGAATGTAGGTATGGCATTTGCATTGACAGGCTGGAACAGAGATAATTCGAATCTCGTCGAACGCAACGGTCCACACGGGCGTTAGGTCGTTTGTCAATACGACGACGGCCGTCCAGTTTCCACGTTTCCAGCGTATCGCTGTTTGTCACCGTCTCGTCGACGATCGTTCGCCGCTACTTCAACTGCTCGCACGCGATTCATTCGCGCGCCACCTCGTTGCCTGCTGTTATTCAAATACGCGACAAATTGCAGGGCTACCGCGGCGCCGTGCCTAACTTTCTCCTCCTCCGTTTCTGCAAATTTATTCCCTACAGCTTCGGGAAATTCCGATCGGTACAGCATAGCTTAATTCCTTCAGAAAATTATTATGAAATAGGTAAACGCAGCGATTAACCCTTTGCGGTCATGCGGCTGGATTTAATATGCAAGGTGGAAAAATACAGAGAGGGCGTTTTCTTGCAAGTATTCTTCCGATTCTTTGACGAATTCGATTGAAATCGGCAGACAGATCGGGCCGGTATACACGGTGCCGACATACGTTACAATGGAGGTTCACTTTCGAAAATCAAACAGAGAGAACCGCCGAGCGCATCCTCGCAGCTGCACTGTTTGTACGAACGTGCAAACAATCGAACTACCCATTTCCTGTGCGAATATATCCTGACGATAGCCGACCGTTCGCGGACTTGCCGCCAGGCAAACACACCTACCGATGACACGCCGATTTCTGCTCGAAAGATCGATACTTTCCTCGTCAATCTGCGATACACTTATTTCCCCTGGCTCTCGTTAATCCAGCGATCTTTGATCAATCGCTTTCGAAAGAACCTTTCATTCGAATCCTCTCCATGTTTCTTTGATCTGCTACTTAACTCTTTCGGCGGGAGAAACGATCGCTTCTCTTTACAGTATTTCCAGTAATCGAGTGACAAATGTTTGACAATAAGTTTTCGTTAATTCGTGCGAGTAATTACAAAAAAGAAAAGCGAAGGGTTATTGTAGAAGCTTGCGATATTCAATTTTATCATCGTATCGAATTCTCCACAAAATCGAAGCAATTTCATCCCACCGGGTTTATCTAACAATTATCTCGCGACCGAAGTGAAATGTTTCCAATCACTTTCAGCCAATTAGACGGCGAAAAAACATCGCCGGCCTCGTTCGAAACACGGCGTGCGTACATCGTCGCTGGCTGTCGATATTAAATCGTTCTCCGAGTTCATATCGATGTGTAAACAAGCGGCGGGCAGCAAACACGCGAGAACAATGATGACGCACGCGATACCGTCTCCTCATTAACTTTCGTCCTGGTCGAGCGACTAATTAAACATAAACGGCAGGCTCGTTACGAGATGTTCGCGAAGCCGCGAATTTCCAGCGGTCCGAGAGGATGAAAACGAAGGAACGGGAGCGGAAGAAAGATAGAAAAAAAAAAGAGTGACTCGGTGAATCGCGTTCGATAGATCGATCGAAAGCTGAGGTCCGCCCCAGCAGCGACGGGGTGGTCCGTCAGACGCACGCGAGCGAGCGAACCACACCGCAAAAGGGTCGAACAGGGAGGAAAAGAGAGAGGGTAGGAGAGGGTTAGCGGTCCGGTGGGAGATAAAGCGATAAAGAGCAACGAAGGAGAGCGAGAAAGAGGAGCAAGGCTAGCGGTGAACGAGAGACGAAAAGAGAGAGAATGCCGAGGCAAAGTGAACGACAGAGAAAGATACCGGAGATCGGAGCGAGAGGAACCGATGAGAAAGAGTGGGGTAACTGAGGGGTGTGAGAGAAAGCAGGAAAGGGGAAAGGGATGCTGCGTGTGTTGGCATGGACCAGTGCGTCAACGGCTGTTGCCTCACACGAACCGCCGAAATTATAGTTAGTGGCCCCAACGGGTATATTCCGAGAGACTGCTTCGACTATCAAAACACTGGAACCTCTTCTGGCCATTCCGGTGATCCTACAAAATTCTGCCACTCCGTTCGAAGCTTCACGGAACGGAAGATCTTGCGAGGATCGTTCGATTCGCGTGTGCTTATTCTTTTATCGGTGTTGCGACTCTCCTGTGATTAGTACATTAGTGAATGAGCGTTTTCGAATTGGTGACACGCACCGGCAGGATTTATTTAAATTAATTGCTTCGATACGTGGGAAAAAGAAGGTTCGATCAGAGTGATTTTGTGCGGAAGAGAGTGACAACGATAGCCCGTCGCGTCGGTTGCATTGGTGAACGCGATTTACGAGTGAGTGCACCCTTCAGTGGAATTCTTTGCCAAAGAGATCGGATGATTAATCAAGAACATCTTCACGATTTTTCCCAAAGAATTTCGTGAATCGCTCAGAAGGGAACCGATCGGTTCCTCAAGATAGACAAGAAATTCTACGAATCGCTGTAATCCTCTAATCAATTTCAAAATAACATCTTACAGTAATATTTTCAAAGCGAGGGAGAATATTTTCGCCGGAAGTACGAGCAGGCCGCTAGCCGAGTAAGAGATTTGAATGCGAAGTTAAGCGAGAATCTTAAGCGTAGCCGTGTCGTTCCACCTTCTTTCTCAAGACTCTTCATCCCCTCGAGGTTTCTTCTCTCTAATCTTCGATCAACCCTCCAGATTTTTATCATCGCGATATTCTGACAGCATAATCTTTCTCCGAGATAACCGTGTAATCTTCTCGGCAAAGGACCATCGGTCGATGAATCTCATCGAGGACCGTCATCAATGGTAATTGAGAGGAATTGAACGGCTAGTTGATCGTTGCGTCTACTCTCCAATCAAACGCTTACGCGTACGAATGATCATCGTGCGTGTCCAAGTGTCGGAACGTTTCGAGTTTCCGATTGAAAGCTGATCCAGTCTGGGTTCGCGGGAATCTTGTGTGTCGCGTTAGGTGGTTGCCATTGACGGGAACGGAATGGAACGGAACGCAACGTGGTAACGTGCCACGTGCACTTTGACACGCGGTGGTTGTACGTTGCGTAGGGGTTGGTTGGATATCCGTGTGGGGGGTTGGCTACCGGCGGGCGTTCTTTTTCCCCTATTTTTTCCGTCCCCACCACGGCGCGGACGGTCCAACCCCTCCTGGAACACCACCTGGATCCGGTGTGTCAGCCCCGGTGACGTGCGCAAAAATTACTGAATGAACGGTGACGTCACAGGTCGACCCGGTTGAAAAGTGTGCGAATCGTTTCTGTCAACCTTCCTCTTTTCCCTCCCGACAGCTCCCGATCGGCATGGCGTTTCCTAGTCACCGTCGACTTTGTTAAATGGCTCCTCTCGCGAGATAAAGCACCTTCCGAACCCTCGTTAAATGGATTAGAAGGAAGGAAGGGTTGGTCGCGTCGGCGACGGGACTTGGGGTGCCGTCGCCTGCTATTCGAACTGTCTCTTGGGACCAACCCTTCCTCGCGGCTAGTTGAATCAATTTTTGACCTTGCTTCCGGTTGGACAGCTTGATTTTTCATTTTTCTACGTATCTTACGCTTTACATCTTCTGACCAGGCGTCAAATTTTTTTCTTGCTTACAGAGAAATTCAGGGGAGGACTGTTTTTGGTAGCTGAGAAGATGCTTAGAAAGAAAGACTCTCGAAACTCTGTTAGCTAAGAGTACAAAACGATCTTTGAAATATTCAGCAAGTTCAGGAGACAATTAAAAAAGAAAGTGATCTTGGTTGATAAAAGAGAAGAGAAGTATCTCTCACCGAGGTGTCGGCGATAGTTTCGTGGAAAAAAGGTTGGTGAACAGGAAGCACGGTATCCGGAAGTAACGCTGGCACGGTGAGGGGGTCCAGCAACGAGTCCAGCTGTGGAACAGCGAGTTCCGGCAGCGGAAGCGGTGAAGACAGCGGCAGAATGCAGTTGACAGAAGCCTCGACTCCTGGCGCTGCCGCGTCGCCGGAGTCGGGCGTTTCTCCTCTGACCGATGCCTACACCAAGATGACCAGCGATATTCTGGCGGAAAGGACCCTCGGCGATTTCGTCAGCGAGCATCCTGGTGAACTGGTTCGAACAGGTGCGAATTCACCGGTCAATAATAGCCATTCAGTTGAGAGGAGTTTGAGAGAAGCAAGAATAACACTTTGAAGTAGTAAACGTGAACGAAACTGTGTTTACAGGTTCACCCCATTTGGTCTGCAGTGTCCTACCGGCACACTGGAGGTCCAACAAGACCCTTCCGGTAGCGTTCAAGGTGGTAGCCCTTGGCGAGGTCGGTGACGGCACGTTGGTGACCGTTCGTGCTGGCAACGACGAGAACTGCTGTGCCGAGTTAAGAAATTCCACCGCACTTATGAAGAATCAAGTTGCCAAGTTCAACGATTTGAGGTTCGTCGGCAGAAGCGGAAGAGGTTAGTGATATTTTCCATCCCCTTGTTGGCCCGTATTGAAATTCCGAGAACGCTGAAAGTTGGAGTATCAAACAGTCAAACCGGGCGGGTAGCAAACTGGAAATTACCCAACGACATTTCCTCCCCCTTTCTTCATTCACGAAACTGTGCAAAGTCGTTGATCTCCGCGTTGACAGACCACCTTGCGGAAGAAAATGCTTCTTAGGGTGAAACGATCGGTCGGGGGGAGAAGGTTCTTCAAAGAATTCGGCTATAGTAAGGGTAGGTCGTGGACGTCTCGGGACACCCTTGTTTTTCCTCGTTCCTTCACGAAAAGTCTACGTAGGCTGCGAGGTGTAGAAAGGGGGGGGGTTGAAATTGGACGTTTCGCTGGGGTTGCTGTGTAAGAGAGCAGATTCGAGGAGAAGACGACGCGTTGGAGTGGGTAATGGGTTTTATTTGTCCGCAACGCCAGCTAGCAACCTCCTCTCTTTACTTTCCTTCGTCGAGAACAGGCTCGTTTGGGAGAAAAGGACGAGACACGGGTCGAAGAAAGCGACGCCCCTCGAAACAGGCCTGCTTGATATTAATTGAGGTTTCAGTTAGATTTTAATTAACGTTATTAGGCCAGCTGTCTTCCCTTGTCTTTCGAGCTCGTGCTTTCTACACGATTTCTCGACTACTTGCTACGACCTACTTTCTGCTGAACTCGTTTTAGTTTATTTTAATTGATTTTCGTTTTGAAACTTTCATTTATCGAGAAACGCGAATAGACGAGGTCGAAGAAATTGGTAGAGGACCGAAAGGGTTACAAGAGGGAGACCAGGGCGTTCGGAAATCATGAAATACCGGAATTTTCTATCCAAGGGGGGATGGTGAATCCCTTCCCTAGAAGCACGTCAGTCATTTGTCTGGGATTAGCTCTCAATTGTTTTCGTCGAGCGTGGAATTAACATAAGCTAGGATGAAGAACGTAAGAGAAGTGTCTCTCGTCAGGATTCCTGCGACTCCCTGGGCTCCTTGAATATTCCCTGGGAACCGAACTCTAGCGAATCCTTAATGATCCTCTCGTTTGTCGAACTCGAAAACATTCCTCTGTATGCACGTGCATGTGACGGAAGGGCTTGCTTTCGGAGCTCCGGAAATCATTAGTTTATTCATTTATTTCTCTGAATCATGATGCGATAGAAAGGATCTTTCTAAAAAATAAATATAAAATAATTATCCCACGAGTAAATATATCTAGTCGGTATAGAAATTATTCGGTAAGATTCAACGCGATCCCGTCGCTAGATTTAGATTTAGTCGCGAGAGCAAAGTTGAAGGATACCCGTCTGCCACGGGCTGAAACTATAAGCGCCCAAATGATCTATCTCGTTATAGGGCTTAGGGTTGAAGGGGGTGGAAACGATCCACTACCTTCGGGGTAGACTTTGCCACGATGAAGCTGGCATTACAGACGAACGTGCAGGAACGAGGCCATAGCTTATCATCGATATTACAAAGCTCTCGACTATCCTGCTCGGTTTTGCTCGAACCATGAGCACTTTTGAGTGGTTTCCACAGGAAAATGTTGGATCGTTGCCTTTCGAATATCGCTGCTCGTTTTCTGCCTTTTCGGTATGATTTATCCAACGAAATTACAGAGCAGAATAACGAGGAAAATATAAGCAATGTTTGAGGTCTGCTGATGTTTTTCTAATTAATACAAAAACGATAAGTACGGAATCGAAAGAATAAAGATCATGATCAACGCGAAACAGAGAAATGCAATGAACATTAAGAGGACGAATTGATTTGGCAGCAGGTGCGAGTGAAAATAGAGATAACGCCGGAAGTGAATCGAGATCGATTTCCTGATAATGCTCGTTAGCATACGATTCTCTGGGAAAATGTGAACCGGCACGTGTACACACTGGCCTATGCACGGGGTAGACTGTCGCTGGCCCGTTGTCGAGCCAATTAATTAATTTCAATTTTCCCCAAACGAATCGCAAATGCGCTATTGTGCGCTGACAACGAATTGATTATGGTCAGGATGAACTGTCGTCACTGCGCTCGCTTTTCTTTCTACTCGAAATATCGTTTATATAATATTTTATTAATTACAAAAACAACAGCGTTCGATCCTTTTTCCTTTTATCTTTTATTCGATCATAAACAATGCGAAAGTTCAGAGAACGAGTTTGTTTGTTCAAAAATTGTTCTCCAGAAAATCGTGGAAGGTAAAGGGGTAGAAAAGGGCTGGTATAGCCGAACGACTTTTAATGGTTCCACGGCGACTGGCACCGAGGGTGATACCCTACGTGTAGGTAGCTAACTGTGGAACCACCAACTCCCGCAATAGGTGAAAAGGTTTGCCAGACTAGACCATGGTGGATGCCGTGACTTGCGATAAACTGACGGGATCCCCTACTGGAAAACGAGAAGCTCGCGTGGTGAACCACCGTGTGGCCACGCTCGACACTCGCCATTATTCCTCTCCATGCTTTTCTTTCTTTCTTTCCCTTAATCTCGTAAACGTCGAAGGGAAGCTTAAGATTCGTTTGGAAGACGAATACGAGTAGACGTTTTATTTTTCAAATTACCGAAATTGTCGAAGATTCTACAGATTTATTTGTGTGAAATTAACGCGTTCATTTTAAACCCCGTAAACTGTGAATATCGCGTTGCTCTGCGTCCGATTTCTCTGATTTTCACCCCTGTTGTCGTCATTGAAACTGCAAGGGTCTGAAAAAAGAGGCAATCGATGCGACAGAACGATACAAATTATCCGAACGTGTCGAACACAACACCCGCTCATTTTTCGACACGTTTGCCGTATCAGAAAGGGCGAGATAGAGAAAGGCTGGCGATCAGCGAGCCGCTCGGGGTGAGAAACGATGGGGACGAGAGAAAGAGTGAAAGAGTGAAAGAGGATGTACGTGGAATTGCGGTGAACCTCTGCGTGTGCAACCACTGTGTTCTGCGTGGCGCCGTTTTTTTTTTTCACGCATCATTGTCCCCTTTTTAACGAGCCTTTCATCGAAACATCCCTTTCCTTCGTTTCGATGCAACTTTTCGCATTGATCGTCGAAGTTAATCGATGACAAATTAACGTGAAAACTCATTAAATTACAAGAGCCATCGGTTTCAGGTGGAATCTTTCAAAATATATGTAGTTAACGGTGGTTGTTTTTCGGGATAACGCGTTTAATAGGCTTTTTAACATAACTTAACGCAGTGAACCCCCATGATTCGGTCGCGTTGGCTGGCCACCGTCACCGTCAACGACGCCCTCGATACATTACCGACGGTTAATTCGATTACCACCGAGTTTCAGCCGGCTAACCACGTTTGCGAACTTCCGGCGCCGTTTCAATCGACGGTGATCCACGGAAAAAAAATCCAAGTAACATTTTCCTCTACGTTGTTTCAGGGAAGAGTTTCACGTTGACGATCACCGTATCAACCACACCGCCGCAAGTTGCTACCTATACCAAAGCCATTAAAGTAACGGTGGATGGGCCAAGGGAACCGCGATCCAAGACCAGTGAGTATCACTGTAAGCATTACTGTTTTTTATTTATTATTTGTATTGTAATTTTCTTAGCGCGTAACGTTCGTTAAGCTAGTAACACGGTGAACGAAAAGGGTAACGGTACGGTCGACAGAAGGCATTCGAAGCCGCAAGTTTGAAATGGCCCGAAGCTGGTGCGGTGGACCGTTAGCTCGGCAACGCTAAGTTTCGCGCAATTGCCATTATTTATAACCGCGGCCGGCCGCCATAACATTGATAAAGGGCTGCGGCTGTTTAGCCGCGGAGATATTGTGCGACGCCTACGAACTTTCCCGGCTCGTGTCTCGCAAACCGGCCACCGGTTTCTCCTTACCCTTACGCCATTGCGCGGAGCATACAATTACCGGGTGCTCTGGTTATTTGGTGGGTCGCAAGCCCCGCAGACGACGCGACGCGGCTGTGAGCTTTCCACGAATCAGGAACTATATTCACGGAAAACCTCCCTTCTCTCCCTACATCCGTTACTATTGTGTTCTAGCGACGATCGAAATTTACCGTCTTCCCCTTCGTAAATCTAGTCTGACGAGTATTCTACTCCAAACGGTTCTATATCACTGATCTTCTAATTTCTCGAATCGTCGAGAAAATTATTTATTCGTCCATATAAAAGTTGAAAACACGATTTCGTCGTGCTCTTTCCATGCCAAATATATCTGCTTTCAATACATTGTGCCAGTCCGTGCGACAGAGATAGATCTTGGCAGATTGCAACCACATCCGCTCGTCTGTTCGGACCACCCACGAAATTTTCATCGTAAAATAACCAGAGTACGTGAACTTCAAAGTGCGCTTTTGCGTTCGTCGAAAGTGTACGCGATGCTTATTCGAAATTACTGTAGAATGTGACAGAAGATTGGACGAGATTTCATTTGAATAATAGGACAGGCACGTGGTGGAAAATATTTTTGAATAGGCGGCCTGTTATATCTTCTATGAAAACGAATGTTTTCCCTGGATAAAGGGACTACGTCTAGCCGAAGGGAAGCGGTAAAAGATGAAAGGGCTACGAGGTGTGGGTGGTCGATCGGCGTTTCTTTAAACCAGCCGCTTCCTCGTCTTTGACACGCTCCCTAATTTTATTACGCTCACATCCTCTGAAAGCAAGCCGTTATCGTGACAACCAATTATTCTCTTCCATTACAATCGTTAGACGTTCCTTAGATTTTCCGAACGGATTTCGTGTGTGTATCAACGGGGTTGGTGAATGACGAGCCTTTCTTTCAAAGACAACAAGCAATAAATCAATCCTATGGATTGTATTCAATTGGGAGACACGGGCGTAAGAAGGAAGGAAGGAAGGAGTTCCGTTGTCGAAACGAACGGCGGCGTGTGGCTCATCCAAACTCGAGAACGACGGAACGGGCGTCGTTCGAGGGTCGTAATTAATTAAACAAGCAATTCATTACACATTCTACCCTCGTCCCGTAGCCAAAGGTGGCCGCCGCAGAAAGAGGATGCAGGGCTAAGGAAATTGATCGAGAGAGATGTTGGAGGCGGTAGCTCACGGACGCCTCTGGCGGAAGTTGGAAACCCCCGAAATCCGGGCTTGAACACCACCACCTTCCATCGGGGGCTGCCGAACGATCCGCCGTTTCTGTTAGAAAAGCTCGAAAATGGCCGGCCACGGCCACACAGGCGTCTACAGTCTACACTGTGTCGACGTGGTAGATTGGGGCCGACTGAACGAAATGAGGAGCTGTCGTTGCCAGCTGGTAACTCTCGAGAAATTCCCTGGCAGTCACCCTGCACGCGTAAAAGGGTGTCCAATGAAATCGATAGTAACCGAGTCTGGAGAAAGTCCGAATGGTTTCTGAGCTCGACGCTAAAAAATTTCAAATAAATCCAAGGGAACTATCGAGCATAGTTTGACGTAATATAAGAAAACGGGAAAATTTCTTGAAGGGTCGTCCGCGAAACGTACGAATGGCCGGTCGTTTATCGGGCATATCTCGTTAGCCTGGTTGCCGGTCCGTATTCCATCCTCGCGTCCCCATTGTGTGCCCAGGATCGAGGCAAGCGTACCCTATTCAGCAAACCGGCGGGAATTTCGGGTTGCCGAGTTCGAATTAGGGCTTCGATTGGATTATCAGTACGGTGGGGGGTCAGCGGTAGTTGCTCTTCTCTCTTCGTCATCCTCTGACTCGATCCCTCCTGGTTTCGGTCTCCGGTGTGCCTTCGGTGTCGGTGTGTAGGTTCGTTCGTAGATTTCGACGGTTCACGGGGTTGTAGGGAAGCTCGAGCCACCTCCACGTATGGGGCAGACTGGCCTAACCTAACTTAACCGACTGCTGGGGTGGACGGTAGCCTCGTCAGATAGGACGGTCGCCTGTTGGGACGTCTTTAATTGGGTTGGCGACACCGTACCCGGGAAATAAAATGAATCGGTGCCTCGACGTGTCTCTTCTTCCATCCTTCTCTCTTTCTCTATTCGTTTCTCTCTCTCTCTCTCTCCCTCCCTCTGTCCGCCGTCGCGCCGTTTAGTTTTACCCGTTCGTGAATGTTAGCCAGCTTGCAACCGTAGGAGAAGCTGGACACTCGGTGTGTCCGACAGGGAACTGGTTGCCTGGGGAAATAAAGGCAGCCGATCCTTCGAAAATGCGAGAATTAGTAGACTTTTTGAGAGGTTCGTACCCGATCACGGACTCTCCAGGGTACACGAGGAAAACGAAGTTCGTGAACCGTAGCGATTCATCAGGGTTACTGAGTTAGCGGCGAAAATTTAGCGACGTAATTAAATCGTCATCGAAAAGTGATTTTGAAACGCGTAGATGTTTAATGCGGGTACCGGAAGTCCAGTGGACAGGCGCACGGTTGATCGCAGTGTTGTCTCTTTTAGGGCAACAGCAGCAGTTCCACGCGTTTGCGTTCGCTTCCCAGAGGGGTGGTCCATTTTTCGCTTCCCCTTTGGTGGATCCTCTGCAACCCTTGCCGAACCTTCAACCGCTGTCGAATCCGCTACCACGGAATCCATTGTCCTCGTTCAGGCACACGATGCCTGGAAACTGTCAAAGTAAGTACTCGATCGTCTTTTCTCGCATGTCGCATGTTGCATGTTGTAGCTAAGTCCTGCCACACATTGATAGCCTGTGTTGAGCATAAAAATTCCGACCAATGTTTGTTCAGTTTAATTCGCGACGAGCTGGAGATTCGGTGTTTCGTTATAGAAATGAAATTTCATAGCTGATATTGTAAGAAACGTTTTCTCTACCGTGGAAGCTGGGAATATTTCCAAGCAGACAGTGTTGGCCTCCGTTGGATATAGGCAGAGAGCTTTAGGCTTGGTAGCTAGCTTCTCGACTCCAGAGGCGGAAACCGCAAGCCTGTTCAAAGCTAGATTAAATATTATATTAAAGGGGTTGCCACGAGAGCGGCGAGCTCGTTGAAGGGGGGTTGGTTCGTCGTTTTATGCTTGCCTAACCCCCATCCACCTTCTCTGTACGTTTGCAACCAGATTCGCGAATTTGTAGCCGAAACATTGCGCTTACAGTTGCCTCGTTCGTTTTCGACGCTTACTATTATGTTTTTCCTGACGAAAGAAATTATCAACGGCATTCATTTTCACGTTAGGGATTGATTATCTTCTCGCGGAAAGAAATCCTCGTGGAAAATATTCGAGAGGGAATGGAGTTAATGAGTCACGCGATAACGCGGAGAATTCCTCGATAAAGTATCAAGCATGCTAGGTATTTCCTTTATTAACTTTTTTTCACCGCATCGAACATCGATAATTCGCCTTCGCGTGTCTTGATTTCACCTATGAACGTAAACGGTGAACATCGTGAGCATCTTTCCCGTAAACGTTACCTAACGTAACCAATCGTTTCGTTTCGATTTAATTGACGGACCACGTCGAATTAGCACCGCGTTAATCAAAGGTTCTCCTTACGTGGCCATATCAGGAGGATAGCTCTGCCGAAAATTGAACGAACGAGCTGAAAGCATGCTAGCTTGCACTATTTAGGGTTAGGCTGTCGTCAACGACGGCCCAGCGGCGCTGGTCGAGGGAAGCCCCGGTTATTTGAGTTGGCCAGAGCCACGCGGGGATGACCAACCCTTTGATCTCGTGCCCTCCCCACGTTTTCTGTCCGGCTGCACCCCTCTTCGCAAACCGTGCTCTCGACCTTTCTACCTTCAACCCCGTAACTCATTGGAAAATCTATCGGGGGATACTGCCTATCCGCCGCAAAAATAAATCCACCTCTCGAAGGGTGCAAAAGAAGTTCGATTATGGCGTATATAAATCGGTAAAAGTCATTTGCATCGAGTATTAACCTGACTTTACGTCCCTCTCTTTCGTGTTCTTTTGCAATTGCTATGTTTCGCTTTTTAAACCGCTTACCATGCTGTACCTTTAATTTTAACATCTGGCTGCGCTATGTTGTAATCGTCGTCCTTATGTTTCGCTTTACTAATGAAAAAAGATTTTGGGTGAACGATTGCGTTAAGTTGCTCGAGCTTGCTTGTGCAAAATCTGTTATTTCTTAAATCAATTACCACGCGTTGTGAAATAGCAAAGATTGCTATTTTGATGCTCAAACGAGCACAATCTCCTCAGACATGTCCCAGTTCGGTCTGACTGCAAGTAATTCATGGGGATATGGGAGCACGGCTGGTTACGCTGGTTATCTTCCTGGCCCTTTGTCGTCGTGCGCGGCACAGGCGTCGTTCCCACCCCCGCCACCGCCACCTCCACCTCCACCACCACCCCCGCCGTCATCGTCATTGGCGTCTTTCGCGGGCGCCGCGTCTATGAACACACCGACGGCGCCCGATTCCACAGCGGAATCCACTGTCACTTCCGGTACCGGTGCGGGATCCACGGCACAGCAGGATGCGTTTTCAGCGGTATCTTCTCGTAAGTCTTGTCGATTTTCCTTCCTTCGTTCTCGACCAGTTGCTTTTGATCCCTCCGAAGGACTTCTTTATGGAAGCAAAATATCATTTTAATCCCGTGCAATTGCGGGTGTAATGAAAAAATTCCCGGCAAAGATTTTTATGATTGCAAGGGGCAGTTTAGCTAACAAAATTTCTGTTGGAACTTAGAAAAAAGCTTATTCCAATACAGTATAAGTGTAGTATCAACTTTGATCGTAAATTTCAACCGGAAGGACCAAACAAATTTTATAGGATATTTATTCAGAGGATAGAGGAAGGTGCGACGAGGATAACGCACTTGGTTTCATGTCGATATCTCAACTGGTTTCCAAGATACAGCCATTTAAAGCCGTAGCGCTCCAAGTGATGCGCAGCGCAGGGTTATATGAATGGGGCGCGCTGTGCGCGGGAAACTCCGTGACCTACATTTTTTCCAGGAAGTGCGTACGCACGATAGTAATAGTAAAAATCCTGCTGACTCGGCTTTAGCGAATGACCGGTCACGTGACTTGGGGATAGGTCAGTGACCGAGGCGTGAGCGCGACAAGGACGGACATAGTAAAATATTAAAAATGATGCTTCTCTTTGAACGACGATATCTCGGGAACGGGTAGGCGTATCGACATGAAACTGATACCATTGTAAACTAGAAAGTTCACCGATGCTTAAAATGCCCCAGTTAATAAAAAATATTAATTACTTTGTTAATAACAACGTGTTAAATTTTTAGTAATCTTAATACGATTCTTACCTGTGTTTGAAAGTGTATTGGACTTGTGTATATCATTTTTTTATCACTGAAAACGGGTTTAAATGTTTAATTATGTATTTGTATAATTTATTAGTTATATTGTTGTTAAATGTAATTGTTTTATAGGAATTAGTGTTAATTTGGCTTAACTCTTTGTCTTACGAGCAGTTAGATTTATTTTTCATTGTTTGAGAGTTGAAACAAAGGAACAAAATGAACAGGTTCTCCTTAATTTGTTGTTGCATAAACTTTATTTTTCAACTATTATTGGTACAGCTAAAAAGCAACTTGTAATTATAACAAACAATAGGATCAGAGAGGAAGAGAACCATGGAGGTCTCAATTCAGCTGACTTTAAGAATGGTTATCTCGAAGAGTATAAACGATACAAAAGTTATCTTTACAGATATTTATTAAACAAAATCTTATTTACAATTTCCAGTATTAACATGTTAAAGAACAGATAAAATGGCGACGTAGGAGCTAGAATGGCAGAATGCCGTACATGATGTAAATATTGATGGTGCAAAACTTACAAACTGTGATTGTCGCTTGAAATAATTTTCAAAAACCATTCTTAATCTATCATTCTGAGGCCTCCAGGATGATTTTACATTACAAGTTAATACGGATTGCAACGTGAAACACCATCTACATCATTCTCCCAGCCATCCATGTCCATCCTTTTCCTCGACGAGTGGAAAATTAACGCCCAAAAGCTGTTTTCTCTTTTGTAAACGACAGTGGTGCCAGACTCGACGACGACGGGTCAATCCGATTCACTGGATCCACTGAGCAGCCTGATGTCTGGAACGTCGATCCGGTACCAGGAGTACATGTCACCGAGATCCCTGTCGACGGACTCGAGCACCACGGAAAGTCCGGTACACGAGGAGCAAGCCTTTGGACAAAATTATGGCAACTACTTTCCAACTTCCGGTGTTCTCCCTAGCATCCTGTACTCTCAGCTGTACGGGAACCAATTCCAAAATTCTGAGAGCCCCGAACAGAGAGCAGTGACGGACAGTTGCAGCGTCAGAGAGGGAGAAGTCAGACCGGACAATAACGTGTGGAGGCCTTATTGAAACAAAGGTCTTCTTCTAGGAATTTCGTCGAACGAGCCTCTATCGTAGGGTATCGTCATCTTTTTTCATTGAAAAAAAAAAAAAAAAGAAAAGAAAAGAGAAACAATGAATTATCGTCGACGAGCAAAACTGTGATCGGTGAGATGTGCTGGCTCGATACGAAACTAGCTACTTTTAGTGGGCATTAACGAACGAAAGATTTGGAAACATAACAAGTTACGGTATTATGGTGCAGGTTCGGTGGTGAAACGAATCACGATCCTTTCGCTGGTTGTGTCTCAACGAATCTCCAGGGTGGGTTGATTTGTAATTAAACAAGAGAGAACGAGATTTTAGCGAATGAAAAATACGGAATGAGTGAGACGCGCGTGAATGTGCTGGTGCTGGTCCGGTGATGGTGACGATGATGATGATGTATATAAACACTGTACATAGATAGAGCATTGTCGTTTCATCGTGTCATTCATCACTGTTGACAGACTACGAGAGGTGCGACGAAGTGTACCGACTGCTTTGACGATGGTTATTGGTGTTCTGTTTGTCCGTATACATATTTCTCTGAAATTACTTTTGTTTCAAGCTGAATTGGAGCGTGAAAATCATACAGGCCGTTTTTGGTGAATCATTCTGTTGTAGAAAATTTTGATGGAGAAAAGGTGTTCAGGTACGACTCAATCAGCGTCATACGTCTACGAAACAGTCGGTATAAGTTCGATTTCTTTCGATTATGTTTTCATAGTATAACGCGATCGATTTGACTGCGGGCTCGTGCAATGTCGTCCGAGCGTGATCCGGCGTTGCAATTCTCGTCGAGTTAGAAACGTGGAAATTTGTTAAAGAGAATTGTGCGAACGGGATCGCGTTTCGGTCGAGTCGACGATAAAAAAGAAACGTCTCTCGCGAACGAGGAATGGAAAACTTGTCACGATTCAACGAAGGAAAGCTTGTCGTCGCGACGGTACGCGACGCGGAACGTTTTCACATCGAAATTCTTCTGGTAAAACGAAACCGAAACCGAAACTTGCGTCACAGTGTCCTATGGCGTGAATCAAATTGAACGCGTCGGTGGTGATTTAATCGTTGTTTTTTTTTTTTTCTCACACCGACGACTTAACATTCTGCGCCTCCCCCTCAAAAGAATAATTTCCGATATACATATCTACCGACCTATTGTTATCGTAGTTTTTAACCTAGTCGAAATAAAAGTGTATTTCAAAATACAGCAGAGGAGTGGTTCTTGCCGGTCCATATATTGGTTCGTTCTTAGTAATTTTCAAGTTGTTTTGGTTTGGTTTCTTTGATGTTGTTTTCTATATTCTATAAGAGTATTGTGCAAAGTATTTTAATCCTTTGCATTTTTGTATTTTTCTTCTGTTTTATGTTGTACAAATGGTACTCAGTTATCCACCTCCCATAATATTCCTACCTTCTAAATGATAGAAAAAGGGAAAAAAAATCCGACGTTTATTCATGAAAGTTGGCAATCAAAGGAGTTAATCGCTTTACGGTTGCCGGTCAGGTGTTCAAAACCATGGTCCCCTGAACAACAAGGGATCGACGTTATGCGGTCCGTAAAAAGTACATAAGATCGGTCTCTTTAATGACGTGTTTCAGTCAGGTAAAGGGTTGCACAGGTAACGATACGAATCTCTACAAAGCTTCTCTCCCCAAAAGCCGGTGTGTTCCAAAGGATCCTTGCCAACGTAGCTGCGTGTATGTAAATTCGCAAAAGATTTAATTAAACGTAGACCCCGAGAGAAGACTCTGCCTTCTGCTTTCCTCTGCCACCGCCTGTGTAAGCGGCTAACGAATTCGCGTTTCGAATTTACCGTTTCAGAGCTTCGGTTGCTCGATATTAGCGATCCTCGAGATTAAATTTTCCTGGCGGACGTGTTTTAGTTTCCTGAATAATTCGCTGATTACCAACCCCTTTACCATCGATCGATGTTTTCCAATTCAACTTGGAGAATTCAAATGGAAATGTTTAGGAACCGATTGCGCGGAAACAGGAAAGCCTCAGCCTCCCATCTCTCAAATCGTTCAATGTCTTTATTATTTTTATAAATTTTACAAATTTTATTTGCAAGCGACGTTAATAAGGTAACGTTTTCGTCACGTGTCGCTGGTAAACTAGCCCCCACACGCCACACAGAGTGGTGTTTATCGGTGTTTCGCGAAGGTAGTCGACTGACGGACACGACGGTGGCGCTTGGAACCGCGCGACTCCTCGTTTATATACGCGTTGCCAGCATAATGGAGCAGAGTGGAGCGGAGCACGGATAATGGAGTATGAAGAATAGCGTGCGGTAAACGTCGGGATAGTCTGCGTCCCTCTTTCACCCCCTTCTGCCTTTTCATCCCTCCCCTCGTGTGTCCCACCGTTTTCTCTCTCTTTCTGCCGACCGATCTATTCTTCTTCCCTCTCTGTAGTATCTCTTGCGCGAACACAGGGAGGAAGAGAGCGAGAGGGAAAGAGAGGAATTGGTTGCAACGAGGGACACGGCTCGTTGGCTCGACCAGTTGGCCATACCGATTTATTGTGCTGCAGTCGAGCCGCATTACCAATTGCCGGTAAATTCAACCGTGTCATCGAGACAGCCTCGCGATTTTTCTTGATACTTCTCTCTTCTTGGAGACGCGGTCTCGTAAATCGAATCCGGGACAAAGAACAATCGCGTTCGGGTGGTTATTGTTCTGTACTGGAGAGAAGAGGGGTTGCTTCCTGTTCTGATTCTTTGTTGTTTTGTCCAGAGCAAAGAGCGTTGCAAGCTCTTGGTTGTAAATTCAGAAGGTAGAGTACACATTTCTTTTGAAAATCAGCAGAGCAAGAATCAAAGAAATGGAATTCGTAAATGGTAATCGTTAGCGAGTTAACGTTACTTGGCCGTGCGATTTAATCGTAGAACGACGGTGGTCGGGTAACGAAGCACGAGACACCCCTTCTCGCTAGTATCTCGAACCAAAGCCGTATCTCGTTCGAAATGATCGGGTCTCGTTGTCCGAAAATTCACCCCGTAATCGACGGACAAAAAGTAATTTCCTATCGAGACCGGGACAAAGGGTGATTTTGCATGGGGGCTTGTGCTGGCGATAGCCAACGGGGGTGGTAGTGACCGGTGCGTGTAACGACCAAGGCTCACCCTGTTCGCCCCCCTCTACCCCCCTCAACCCCTTTCGTTTCTGGCTTGCCAAGCCGAACGAACGTTTACGGTGAACGCCACGTGCACTCTATGCGTGCACAAGGTGAGAGAGGATCGACAGGGAATGAGAAACAGAGAGAAAAAAGGGGAAGGTTTTTCGATGAGACCGTGTGTTGTGTGTTCGATCCGTATGGTATGTGGGGCTCTAGGGCATTTTTCGTTCGCGTTTTTTTCACCCCCTCTGCATACTGAACAGACATCCGATAGTTGTTTCGAGATCGACCAGCGAAATTTGGTCAACTCGATGAAGCTTGAGGGAAAGTGATTATGTTTATCAGGGGTGCATAATTGAATAATTAATTGAAGTTAATTAGATGAAGGTAATTCATAGAAATTTTAATAAGTTAGGAATCTATGCGTCGAGACGAAGTTTTAAAAATTCCCCTTACAAAATTCACGAGAATCTCGAAAGGGTTGGTGGTAAGGGTAAGAGTGTCTGACGGATCGCGGATCGCATGACGACGGCCAGAAATAAGTAAGACTTGACGAAGTACGCCCGCGGGGCTGCAACCCTTGATTACCAAGATCTTCATCTACATGCTAAACATCGTTCCTCAGCGCCGTCTTGAATACTCTTGTACTTACGTATGTATCTAGATTCCGAGTCTGCAACCACCTCCTACTCCTTCTACCCCCTGTTCCACCCTCTATCTTCCAGCGAGTTCCAACCCTCCTTCAACCTTGCCTCTCTACCCTGTGCTACACATTCACCTACCATCTATATGATGTTTGCTTAGATTAAATTAACCGACCGTCAGCCTATCCTTTGTTCTTCCTACTGTTGGAACACCCTGGAACATCCCCGTTCCATGGGGTGGTTGGAAAAGAGGGTGAACCTGGGAAAAAAAGAGTTTCTCCTTCTGAGGGAGAAGGTTCCACGTTTATGTGCCAGCGAAATACTCGCTCTTGGATTTAAATCGTAGTAATTTCCCTGGGAATTGCAGAAATGTCTCGACGTTTTGTTTAAATTATTTTGATTGTTAGAAAGTTGACAGAAGTGGTTTGGTTTTTGAGAAATGTAGGGGTTGAAGATCTGCCGGAGGGCAAAAAGGGGTAGTTTTCTTCAGCATAGGCGCCATCCTTTCTTAGTGGTGAACAGAAGTACTAAAGACTTCTTAAAAGGAGGCGCCACTTCTTTAAGAAAGTCGTCTTATTCTTTTCCTTTCTTACCGACAATTCTTTGGGATTCTTCTGCTTCTTTACGCACCTTTTTTAGAACTATCCAATGGTAAATTATTATACATTTACGTTTTGTTTTTCATCACATTTTTAATTACTCATTTAGTATTTGATGATTAAGATCGAAATAAAAACACAACCCCCAAAGTATATATTTCTCTTTCATTTCATTTTCTAACAATATGTTAGATACGTTTATTTTTAAATAAAATGAAAAGTATTTCAGAATTTTAAATTTGGTCCTTAGTTTAAAAGAAATTTTATTTTTTAAATACTTATTGCAGGTGGATCTTTACCGACTCGTTCGTGAGCTGCCTTACCACGAGGGTGGAGACTACTTTCTTAAGGGTGGCGAGAAGAAAGAGGGTGAGTCTTCTTAAATGTCTTTGCTATCTTGCTCGCTTGAGGGCGGCACTAGTACGCGTTTTGAAAAAGAAAGTATCCCCACTTTTTCTTCTATTTCACATATTTAAAAATTTCAATGAAAAAATATGAATGAAACAAAGTTCTTACAACATTTTATTTTATATTTATTTTACAATAACTTTGCTCCGTCAGTTTCTATCAAAATTAATTTTCAACATATTGGGGATACTTAATTTTGTCCTTTTAGCCAATGTTAAGAATATAGTGTGTCCGCTCTTGAAAAAAATTCACACTAAAGATGTAATGTAACAGTCTATAGACTAGACAAGGATAGTCTAGAAAGTAATTATTTGTCGAGAAATATTTATATTCGGGTAAAAGGGGGAAGGGGGTGAGTGGTCTTGTTAAGAAACACGGGAATAGCTTTTCACGTGAAATTTGCATCGGAAACGAGCAAGAAAAAGTACACGGGATTTCACGAAGGGTCAGACACTCAAGAGTTTCCCTCGCTTGGGCTTCAAAAGTGCTCCCAATTATTTTCCTCCTACTCGTCGTGATTTCTTTTTCTTCTCCCCACCTCCCTTGGATTGATGTTCAATTTTTTATTTCCCATTGCCTATGCAAATACGAAAAGAAGATTTCCTCCAATGTAAAGAGCACCGTGCTTGCCGGAGGAAGGAAATTAATTTCCCTCGTCATCTTCGATGCCTTGTTATCCTTCTCATTCCATTCGGAAAACGTTTGCTCAGACTTTTATTCCGTTTTATCGACATTCATTTAATCGTGTAACCCCGTGTAATGAAGAAAGGAAAATTAACTTCAAGTACATGTTTCCATACTTTTACAAAAATTATGTTCAGGGCCCATAATTATGCTCCAAATCTTTTGAGAAGATGTAAGTGTTGAGAGAAGGTGTATTTCAATATTTTTCGTCGTTTCATCGTTTCATTCCCGTGGTTGTTGACCAAGTCAAAGTTACCGAAAGAACATGGTCAAACTCGATGGCAAAATATGCGAAGCGGACCTAAAACAGTACAGAGAGAGATCTCCGAGTATCTTGGCCGGGTCTCGCCGGTAGCTAGGCAACCCACCCCCGGATCCACCGCCTCCTTCTCCTCACTTTTCCTCACCCTTTACCCCTTTCCCAGCTTTTACTCCACGAAGCTGCTTCTCCTTCGTCGTCTCCACCTCCACGTCTCCACCTCGACCACCGACCCTCTTTCAAAATCCCTCCTCCCACCTGGCTCCTTCTCGCCCTCATACCCTGACATCTTCGCACCCACCCCTTTCGGCTGTTCTCTCACCGCGGGTGCGCGGCATCCCCCAGCCGCTGCCGCAACGGCCACGCTGGGGTACCTCAGAACCCCGGCCTTCTACCCGCTACCTCACCCACCTCTCCGAGGTGCCAACACTCATGAGAACTCACCCAGAAAAATTCTAGTCGATCCACGAGTTGACAACGATTACACTTCGCCACGTTGTACCTCACCTTCTCCACCTTTTACATCTTCTCCTTTACTCTTGGATGCTTTTTCAAATGATTACGAGTACAATTAAAATTTTTTTTCTGTTTTGACGCAAAGATTTAAAGTGATAGATGGGAGATTGAAGGGTTAGAATTTTAATTAAGTACAACTATTGTACGTTCCACCTTTATTCGTATCAAATATCTCAACTCTGATCAAGTACACCATACAATTTTTTCTATTTTATTGCCCTTCATTTTCTTCTTCTTCCCCCATAGCACCCGCTAGTGCAACTATTACATCACCTGAATCCTCGTTACGCACAGCATACAAAAGCCTCCATCCTCGCAAGCCCCCCCGGAGCAACCAAAGACATAGTTCCTCGGGGGTGATCGCGGTGGAAAATCTTAACACCCTTCTGGGCACCATTTTGTTTTGCGGTCGGAATGCGCGGTACGTGCGTGAACGAGGCGGTTCTGCGCATCGTCTTGCGGTTGGTTTGTGGTCCTGGGGGTGGCTAGGCCCGATCATTGGCCGCGGGGGTGCCAGGGATGGTTTTTGGGGGTGTGGTGGCACCTTGCGGTTTGCGGGCTGATCTGCCATCAGCAGGGGGCGGCCCTCTTATCGACCTTCCATTGGCTCCCCTCGACCTGTTCACAGGAACTTGGTCTCCGTTGAAGAATTCCACGAAGATGTCACCTGACTTTCGAACCTCCTTCCCTTTTACCCTCTAGTAACATCGCGGATTTGACGACGACGAGGTAAGACTGCTAGTTGCTTCGCGAGTAATTTCGTTCCGATCGAAAAGGGCTGAATCTGGGGTAAGGTTCATATTCGAAACGCGAAGAAAATGGTATTTGAATATTTTTTTATTTTTCTATGTAGCAACCGAAGTGACTGAAGTTGAAATTTTGTGCGATTTTTAAAATTATCTACAGTGGATTTATTATTTAGCACACGCGTGAACTTGTTTTTTGAAATGATTGTTAAATTAATCGATCGAAGTGATCGATAAATCAGTGAAAAGAAAGTAATAATTAGAAATTGTAGCTTTTTAACTGGGCAATGTGCTACATTAGCCAGTATGCGGGGCTGGTAACGAAACAACCCTCGCCAGGGGGAAGCTACTCCCGACGTTTAATTACGCGTCCCTCCGTAAACCAGGCGAAGGTTCCCTTTCATTAAGGCAATAATTTTAATAATTTTTATCTTTCCGTATAATCTGCCTAATTAAAATTACGCTTTGATCGCGCCGCACTCGGCTACCCTCCTCGGTACCGTATCCCGAGACGCGGCTGAATTTATGCGAATCTCGCCACCCCCTTGCTTTCGCTATTTTAACTCCTAGAACAAGATTCGGTCAACGTTATCTCGTTTTACTTTTCCGAAAGTTTTCAACTCGATACCACGTATCCCAGTTTCCCGGAATCTTTTCAGTCTGGCTATTACTCTTACGTTTTTCTAGGTTTGTTAATTTGAAAATTTCAGAAAGATACAGTATTCTATCACATGAAATCTGTTAAAATCCTTCTTCAAATTTGTATCAGATCTTCTGCATTCCGTTTTATGTCTGTTGCTTAATTAATTATACATTTGGTCGACCGATTAATCGTATCCAGGGCAAAGGAAGATGTTTCATCCGGTCGTGGGAAAGGCTCGAATCCGTGAAATAGAATTTCGCTGGAAGAATCCTCCGTTTGAAAGTTGGTGGAATCAGTCGAAAAGAGCATCGCGTCAGTCGGGGGATGTCTTTCGGAATGTTCGAGTTCCACGTTATCGGCGCATTCGTCTAACGCTTCTCATTTTACCCAACACTTTTCAAAAGTTCTCATCCCTCATCCTCTTTCACTCCGTTTTCCCTCTCTTTCTCGCTTTTTCACTCTGTCTGCTAGCTTCTCTCGACTCGTTTCTCTTGGCTCTTTTCGCAGTTCGTGCAAAGAGATCCAAAAGGCTGGGGTTGTTTCGTTGGCTCCGGCGAGCAGGAGATAGCGGAAGAAACGCGACGGACAGAGAGAGAAAGAGATCGTATTCAAATGTTGATGAAATTGACCAGACACGCTTTGATCTGGCCTCTTCAAATATTCCTCGAAAGATTGAAGTGAACATCTGAGGAGAGCGAGAATTATCTTGGCCAGCCTGTCCGCGTAAAAAGCGAAAATCTGATGGTTGGATTTTACCATCCTTCTCTAAACGTCCACGCGAAAAACTTTCATTTAGTTAGAAATTTTAGAGTGTTGCGCATGAAATTTCGAAACGTAGAAAGTTTAACGTATCGCATAGCGAAGGCTATTACCCCTTGGACTGAGCATTGAAACAATGCCAATTTAAATTGAATTTCACATTTTATTTCATTTTCATTTTCTCAATTTTATATTAATTTCATCTGCTAGCAAACTTTTCCGTTCCGTTTATTTTCGAAGAAACATTCGACTGGGTATCGAAATGATTCGGGCAATCGAAGCACAATAAACTCGTCAATTCCGGGAAACAATACCAACAAGCTTCCAACGGCAGGGGGTGAGAAACATTCTGCAACCCCTAGAAGTAGCTCCATCCTGTCCCAAGGAGGATCAAAGCGGCAGCGAGGAATCAATTTTTAAGAAAGAAGATGTCGAGCGGATGTTCTCGAGTCTGCCGTTCACCGGGGGGTGACTGCACACCCCCACCCACCCTCGTCCTCTTTATTCTCAGTCGAGCTTTTCTGCAGTCCATAGCAGCTAGCTAGCGAGGGTTGGTTTTGATTTATGGAAACCGGCCGGCAGATTTACGAATATCAAATTCACGTTTAAGAGGGTCGATCGCGGCGCGGCTGGGAAGGACCGCGAGGGTTGCACTGCCACCCTTGGTCTCATGTGTGTACATTACCGGTGGATTTACAGTGCCATGGGGTCGAACGTTCGCGCATAATTCTCGAAGAAGCCGGCTGTCTGCTCCTTTCCGTGGAATTTCTGACAACCACCCTTCCTCGACACGACGGGGTGACTTTTCTAATTAGACGAAACTCCCTGTGTGTCCAATGGAAAGTTTGCTAGTTCCTGTTCCGTCTTTATTATCTTAGCTTCTTGTTCGTCCTCGGTATTTCCGAATCGATCGACCGAGAAAATTAAGTTTCGATAGGAGTACAGAATACGATACGAGCATACGTGTCGGCTGAACAAATTTGAGAATTCTAATTCGGTACGAGCCACCCCTTGAGGGAAGTCACACCCGAGATGAACTCATAGGTCAGGAAGTAACGCGAGGAATAAATCATCCAAGGACGCACTATGGTGGCCCTAAGAGGCAACCCAGTCCTCGAACACCCTCGTGTTTATGTTCCACAATCGACATATTTCAGATGCGCTTTTAAATATTAAACCTTGGGGGCTGTGAATATGCTTCTCTCCTTCGACTTTCTTCTTACTGTTATCCTGTAGTCTGCGATATTTTCGATGAAGGAACTTTGCCAAATTTATATATGTAATAGAATATTAGATGAACCACCACAAAAATGACGATGCTTCTGAGAAAATTCAATAGTCCAGGTATAATATA